CCTCACCCCTGGCACATCAGAGCTCCGGATTCACCAGTGTTCAGAGCCCAGCAGTAAAAGCAGCACTCTCCTCCAACCCTGTTCTCAGACCTCCGCGGCAGGTGGGGAGCCACGCAGTGGGCTCTCATGGACCTCGGGACCTGCACTGGGGCTGAGGATGTGTGGTTGCAGTCAGTGACAGGATCATGGGACTTCTTGATCCCCACAGTCGTACAAGCCAGTCCCTCATACATCTCTTACCAGGTGTGGTCACAATAGGCCACCAGTGGTCAAATTAAAAAAATATTGATTGCAGTAAAAGACCCATTACCATCATTTGCCCTAAAACACCTCCGACACACCACCCCATGGTCCTGGACACTGTGGGAAGCACTCAAGAAGTCCTCTTTATGGGATGTGAGCCGAAGTACTGCCGCCTCTGCCGAGTCGTCGGGGAAAGGCCGTCTCATCCATGCGGCGGTGTGTCCTCGGCCACAGCATTCGCTGGGTCGGGCCCTTCTCCCGAGTAAAAATGATGACAAAAGGAAACGTTTTGAATGGAATCAGGACATCGAGGCAGCCAGAACAGCATGATTGAGGACGCTCAGGAAGGAGGACTCTGGAACTGCTTCAGCAAGTAGTGAGAACAATAAGATGAGTGTGTTCAAAGGGAAGAAAATTAACGACAGTGTCTTCTGTAATGCATGCAAAAAATTAAGTATGTACTTCGTTTTTCACTTACCTCGTGTCTGTCCATTGCTCTGTGCTCCTGGCTCCCCATCTCTGGATGAGCTCCACTCATGAGGCTCAGCTGTTCTTTTCTGTAGAGACACTGTTTCCTGTCATTCCTGTGCTGGAAATGCATGAGACATTTTGCGACTCTCCTGCCACTCGCCTTCCTGCCATGGTCCACTCCAGTTTGTCTCTACTTGGTGTCAGAGACATTAGTGGCAACATTGACCTCTGGGCTGCACTTGCTCAGTCAGCACTGCGGGATGTGATTCCCTTGCCTGACCGTCAGGGCTGGAGCTGAGGGGCTGATTCATGGTGCCCGTCCTCCGAGCCTGAGATCTGAACTGCTTGGGGGCCCCTAGGAGGAAGACAGCTGGGATCAGAGCACCATCTTGATAACTGGTAGAGTCCAAACCAGAAAGTGTGGCTCTAGCTGTGGAAAATAAACCTCCTAGTGCCGAGTCTGAAGCCACACGGGCCACTTTAACGTGGAAGCAGGAACAAGTGTCACTCAGTCCTAAAGAGAAGAGGCAGCTGTGTTGTCCACTGCAGGCTTTGACCCAAGTTCTTGGTTGGCCGGCCCGGGGCTAGCAAACTTTCTATGTCATTCGCCTTTCCCTTACTCATCTCCTTCAGGCTACACTGACAGTAACTGATCACTGAGCTTGGGAATTGATTGATAAAGAGCATTGCTGTGGCACAAGTTACTTAGTATGTTTGAGGTTAAATTTCAGGGCTAGGCTGTATTTTAAGAAAAATAACAAGGGCTAGGTTGTTGGCACACACCTGTAATCCCAGCACTGAGGAGGCTAAGGCAGTAGGATTGCTGTGAATTTGAGGCCAACCTGGGCTTCAAAATGAGTTCAAGGATGTCCTGAACTGTATAGTGAAACCCTGTCTAAAAAAAAAAAAAGAAGAAGAAAAAGAAAAAAAGACACAAACATCCCAAATAAACCCAACCAAAAATTGTCTATTATTTCCTAGTTTGGAATTTTTGTAAATGAATAGATGTTTACATGTACTTTATTTAAAACCTTTGGATGCATGTGTTTGTTGTTGTTGTTGCCAATAAAGCCTTTTTCTTTGGTGAATCCCCAGTGAGAATTAGGATGGAATGTTGACAGGAAAGAAAAAAAACCACTCAAGATAACACATGGCCTTAATCAAGAAAGCATCCGAAGAAATTCAACAGGAATTTAGAGAAGAGACAGATTGTCGTCTGGGCTCCTTGAGTTTAAAAAGAAAACATTTGTAATTTCTAAAGCCATTTTGTGGACTTTCTACATGGAACATGTTTCCTTTTACAGTGAATCCCATTTTTAAAATTTTTTTATTTATTCGTCTATTTATTTATTTTTTTTTGTGTGTGTGTGGCCAGCTCAGCCCACCAGGGGGCGGGGCTGGCTGGCATGTGGTGCTGGGGGATTGAACCGTGGTCCCTGTGCTTTGCTTAGCTTAGCTTGTTCTAAGTAGGTGCTTTAGACCACTGAGCCACCTCACCAGCCCTCCCATTTATTTTTGATATCTATAAAGAGAAGTTTGAACTGAGTTTGCACAAGAGCATAAAATATATGATGTAAAGTTCAATGGGCACGCTAGAAATCGATACTAGAATTTAATTTTCTAAAGGAAACTTTCTAAAGAAGAAACACTTATCTTTTCTCTGTCCTCACAACAATTTCAAAAAGTACAGAGCAACTTGATTTCCTCAGCTTTTATTGTCCTTGAATTTCAGTAGGAAAGGTCAGCGTGCACACACATGGTGCAGAGTTGAGCCTTCCATTTTTAGGAGCATGTTGGACAGCTTAGAATGGCCAGCCATCTTGCAGAAATGAGAACTATTTCTTTTTTTTTTTTTAATTTTTTATTTATTTATTTTTATGTGTGTGTGTGTGTGTGTGTGTGTGTGGCCAGCTCAGCCCACCTCGGGGCAGGGCTGGCTGGCATGTGGTGCTGGGGGATTGAACCGCGGTCCCTGTGGTTTACTAAGCTTGTTCTAAGTAGGTGCTTAGACCACTGAGCCATCTCACCAGCCCGAGAACTATTTCTTAATTCATGGAGTTTGAGGGTCCTGGAGAAGGTGCTGCTTATAGGCGTGACCACAGGTAGTGTAGATATAAGTGTGCCTGGAGCCCATGGAAGGGCTATTCATTCATTCATTCATTCATTCATTCATTCATTCATTCATTTATTCAGCCATCTCTTGGTGATTCTCAGCCACGTACCAGGAGCATGCCGCAGCAGTGCTACTTTGCTTCCCATCTGCGAGCGGCTGCTTCTTTCCCAGGCTCCCTCTCTTGGGGCTGCCTTTATGATACACAGTGTGACCCAAAAATATAGTGAATGTTTACAACAGAAAAAAAGTTTACCAAAGGGTCGACGAGATAGCTCTGTGGTCTAAAGTGCCTGCTTAGGCAAGCTTAGGCAAGTGCAGGGACCGTGGTTCAATCTCCAGTGCCACATGCTTTGCCAGCCCCACCCCCAGGGTAGGCTGAGCCAGCTGCAGGAAAAAAAAAACTACCCAAGAATCACTGCCATTGATCTCCATCAGTGCTCCCCTTGCTTGGAACACTATCCCATCATCCTTGCTGCTTTCTGCAATAACTCCTAGTCCTCTTTCCCGAGTGTCCTCGGGTGCACTATCCTGGCTGTCTTGATGTCCTGAATGGATTTATTTGTTTGTTTGTTTATTTATTTATTTATTTATTTATTTACATTTTAGGGAAGGGTCTACAGGGTGTTCTGGGTCTCACTACTAGATCAGACTTGTAGTGATCCACCTGTTTACAGCCTCCCAAGAGCTGGGATTACAGGCGTGTGTGCCACCACACCTAGTCTGAATTGCCGGCTCAGCGTGCCCTGGGGATGGGCATGGCAGGCCCAGGGATCAAGCTCCCAGCCCCTGCACCTGCTTGCAGGTACTTTAATCTGCTGAACTATTTGGCTGGCCCCTTTGAACTCAGACCCTTGCGCTTGCCAGGGAAGTGCTTATTCTACTGAGCCATCTCCTTGGCCCTGGCTGGCCCCTTTGAATGGATTTAAGGATTTTTTTTTTTTCTCCGAATGCCTTCAGGGCAGGTTTGGCTGGCTTGAATTGTGGGTCTCATACCACAGCAACCTGAGACTGACAGCTTTGTTGAAGCAGTCACTTAAAGAACTGAGCTAAGGGGCAGGCCCCCTGAATGGATTTAAAACATTGATCTCTCATGGTCATTTTGACTTCAGGGCAGCTCTGGAAGTCAGACCACATCAGATCCACGAGAAAGGTGGATGAGGACATGGCGTGGTGTTTTAAGAGCCTGTCTTCTCTGTTGTATGGCTCTGGGCAGCAGAATTCACTGTGTTTTTGACCATCCCTTATAAAGACACTCAGGAAAGAGGACGGCAGAGCTGCTTCGGAAAGTGGCAGAAATGGCGGGAGGAGTGTATCTGAAGCCCAGCACCTGGGAGGACGTGGCTGGGATGCGTGGCCCTGGGTGTCTCACTGTGGAAAGAACACTTTCACAATTATTCACCATCTATTTTGATCACACCCTGTGGATTGTGAGGAGCGCTAGTATATAAAGATTTGCTTCCTGAATTGATGACCTTTATTCCCTGAAAACTAAAAATAAAGAGGCCCAGTTTTATTTGCCTGTTCCATTTTTCTTGGTTTCCATGGTGGTTATTTGCCCCTGGCTCCTTGTCATTCTGCAGTGACACAGGGACCGTTCTGTTGAGAAGAGGGCGTCACTCAGTCACTGGGAGGGGTACCAGCCAGCAAGTCTGCTTCATCCTGGAGGAAGAGTATGATCAAGGGAAGGCCCCTGTCAGGGTGGCATTTCTGCCGTGCGGGGCCACTCTGAGTGCCGAGCAGTCATCTGATGAACCACACTGTCGTCCCTGCTTTCAGGCCACATCTGCCCTTTAATGAAACCCAGGTGTTCCGTGGAGGCTTTTCCTTTTTTTTCATTTTTTTAAAGCAGTTTTTATTTGGACACTGGAAAAGAACAGAAAAGTTTTTTGTTGTTTTTTTTCTGGAACAAGGGATTGAACTCAGGCCCTTGCACTTGCCAGGGAAGCACTTATTCCACTGAGCCATCTCCCCAGCCCCCAGAGAAGATTATTTAGCTGTACCCACCCTGCCCTTAACTGGAAAAAACACTTCAACCTCTGGGCTTTAGATTAAGTAGTGAGCCAAATGAAGCAGTTGGGGGAAAGTGGTTATTAATATCTTGAGGTCTAAAAGTGTGTCTCGTACAAAACAGTACTTGCTAAATCAGGGGCTTGCTTAATTAGGTGAGCTGCAGCAGCCCCAGCAGCATATTTAAAGGTTAGCATTTTAAAGAGAAGGATTCCACGTTAGACTTTGGGGGCTTGTGAAGTCTTGCTTTCCAAGGTTGGGCAACTGGGGCTATTGTGATTCAGGGCTGCTATAGGGTACAAAAGAACTGCTTCACTGTTACTTTCCTGGAGGTTTCTAAGCGTGAACAAACTTCCTTTGACAGGCACAAGTTTCCAGAGCTGTGCTTTCCTGGGGAAGATAGTAGCAGCTAAAAGGAGCAAAGCTTTATGGATGGAGCTCAGTGGGGGACGTGAAAGTTACGCATAAATCTTAGAAGAACTTTGCTTTCTGGGAGGCAAAGGCTCGAGGCTCTGCTGTGGGGCTGGAGGAGGCGCCTGGGTCCCCATGGGGGTGCAAAGCAATTAAGTCAAAGTCTTGAACTCAAATTGCTTTCTATCAGCAGGGTGAGAAGCCACAGATGGAAAGAAAAGGGCTATTGTTTGTCAGAGACCTAATTAGCTGGGCTGCACTCAAGCTCCTGAGCTTCTGTCTTGTTAGGAACAGGAAGGTTGAAACGGCAGGATTTGCAGGAATTTGGACTTTCTGCACTTATTTCTGGGAATTTCTCTCCGAAAAGGTGATTGATTCACTAGGATTTAGATTGTGAGCTATATTCAACGTGGGCTGCCCTCCAGTGGCCTAGATATGGCCCCGTGCTGCTGTTGTTAGTGCAAGGATGGTTCAGCTTGTTCTGGAAACTAGACTCTAGAGTGGGTAATACTTCCGCTCCATTGTACGGAAGCTTAGCCAGACACCACAGGGATAATTGCTTTGAGGCGGGATACTTGAGCTTGTGTATAAAATAAGAACTGCACTGGGATACTAAGAAGGTTAAATGAAATTTATGGTCACTGTGACTGTCTCAAGGGACCTGAAAGTGCTTCTGATCCTAACAAATGATGTTTCAAAATGGGGTTCTTTGTGAGACCATACCCTCACATGAAATAAATCAGACACATGTATAAATTCTGCATTGCTTCTGTGGCGTAAGAAACTGAAAGTGTAAACAAGGATCAAAATGTATAGTAGAGGGAGCCAGGAGAAATAGTTCAGTGGAATAAGCACTTGCGCGCAAGGACCTGAGTTCAATCCTTGGTTCAAAAAAAAGTATAGTAGACATTGTGAAATAGGAAAAAATGTTTGAATGGGATGGGGAAACTAGGGAAGGGGAAAGGGAAAGGAAGGATGCATAAAGAAAAAATGAAGGAAAAAAATGGAATTAAAGGGGCCAGGAAGATGGCTCAGTAGAGTATGCACTTCCCTGGCAAGCGCAAGGGCCTGAGTTCAAACCCTGGTTCCGCAAAAGAAAAAAAAAAAAAAAATGGAATTAAAGCTTTTGTAAATAAGGAGGGGAAGAGAGGTTGAAAAGGCAGGGAACAGTGGAGAAGAATCAAGTTATATCATGTCCAGATGCAAATTCCCTATGCTGAATGTGATCATTGTGTATACCTAAAATGTACCAAGAAACTTTATTAAAAATAATAACTAAAATGGTGTTCTTTCATTTTAGCAATGTTTTATGATAAACTCTACTGAATTGAGCTACTTCTTTGGTAAAAACAAGCAAGCAAACAAAACGGTGAGGTGGATAATCAGGGTGGGGCATCACAGTTGCATGCAAAAACATGACTTTTTTTCTGAAGAACTGATGCTAAGTGCTCAGCAGTTCCTATCTAGACCACGCCACTTTAACCTCCGTCTCCTCCTCTAAGAATGGTGTTGATAACAGTACAATGTGGTAGCTGTGACGATGGGAAGTTAGAAGTCCAGGGAAGCCAGGGGTGTGCTGAGTGCCTGGTAAAAATTAGTGATGTTTGTTCTCTCCACCACTGTCTTTTTTTATTTTATTTTATTTTATTTTTTATTTTATTTTTCAACAAATAATACACTGCATATATTCTTCTTAGTGGTTAATTGCTGTA